GTCCTTAAGCGACGATAACCAGCATAATGCGTGGTGGTCCGTTACTACATCAAAAGCACGGCCATAAAGGTATGGGCGGAACTTGACAAGCGCCCAAACGATCGCCAAGCATTCCTTCTCGGTGACGCTGTAGTTTGATTCAGCCTTGGTAAGAGTTCTGCTGGCGTAGGCGACGACGTACTCGGCGAATCCAGGCTTGCGTTGCGCGAGAACCGCACCGAGGCCAACACCACTGGCGTCGGTGTGAACCTCAGTTGCTGCCGTAGGATCGTAGTGACGCAGTATTGGTGGCGAAGTGAGGAGACGACGAAGGGTACAGAAGGCTTGGTCACACTCAGAAGACCATGACGAAATATCAGTGGTGCTGCCTATAAGTTCGGTCAAAGGCGCAATGATAGAGGCGAAGTTGCGCACGAACCGGCGAAAGTAGGAGCATAACCCCACGAAGCTCCGTAACTGCTTCATAGTCGTTGGTTTGGGGAAGTCGGCGACAGCACGTAACTTAGCCGGGTCTGGAAGTATACCGTCCTTTGATACGATGTGCCCGAGAATCGTAAGTTGCCGAGCAGCGAAGTGACACTTCTTGAGGTTGAGCTGGAGCTGAGCATTCTGCAGGCACGTGAGGACGTGTTTGAGGCGCTCGAGATGTGTTCCAAAGTCTGGCGCAAAGACGACTATATCGTCGAGATAGCAGAGACAGATTTGCCATTTCAAACCCCGAAGAACCGAGTCCATCATGCGCTCGAAGGTGGCAGGTGCATTGCAGAGGCCGAAGGGCATGACATTAAACTCATACAGACCGTCCGGTGTCACGAAGGCTGTTTTTGGTCGATCGGACTCGGCAAGGGGGACCTGCCAGTACCCTGAGCGCAAATCTAATGATGAAAAAAACTCGGCACCTTGTAAAGTATCAAGGGCATCGTCAATCCTGGGTAAAGGATACACGTCTTTTCGAGTGATCTTATTTAGGCGCCGGTAATCCACGCAGAAGCGAACGGAACCATCCTTTTTTTAACGAGCACTACAGGTGAGGCCCATGGACTTTGTGAAGGTTGAATGACGCCGTGTTGCAGCATATTGTTCACCTGTTCGGTAATAACTTGGCGTTCCGCTACAGAAACACGATATGGTCGCTGTCGTAGTGGCGCATGGGAGCCGGTATCGATGTAATGTAGAGTGGTAGAAGTGCGGCCAAGTGAAGGTTGAACAACATCGAAAGATTCGCGGTACTGGTACAGCAGTTGGAGGAGTTCAGATCGTTCAGATGGTGACAGTCCGTCTGCGATCGCCGAATCGAACACTTTTGAAGCCTGTAGATGAGAGTGGTTAAGAGCACTGACGGCGGCGAGGTCACTTTGGGATGATTCTTGCGGCACGGTAAAAATTTGTCCGTTATCAATGGGCTGTACGCATCCAAGAGACTCGCCTTTAAACAGTTTGATGGTATGCGGAAAGGGATTGGTAAGGCAGAGAGCACTGGCTCCATTAGAAATCGAGAGGGCTGAATAAGGAAGCAGAAGTGGTTTCCGACTTAGAAAGAGGCGTGATGGCTCGAAAAATGCTACTTCATCACGCATGCCGTCGGAGACCACAGGGAGCAAAACAGCTGTTGACGGTGGAATGTCAGTGTCTTCTTTGACAACTAGCTTGTGCGCGGCTTGATTAGTGTGGTCGTAGGGCTGCTCGAAGAACGGAAATAGTTCAAGTTCGGAACGGGCACAATCTATAACGGCACGATTACGGGATAGGAAATCCCAGCCAAGTATGATGTCATGAGAGCACGAGGAAAGGACGATAAACTCAACAATGTAGTGGTCCTCCGCAATTTTGAGTCGGGCAGTGCAGGCGGCTATAGGTCGAACAGGTTCTCCATTTGCTGCACGTAAGAACATATCAAGCGGCGTGGTCACCTTTCGGAGCTTGCGGCAAAGTTTGGCGTCTATAACAGACACAGCGGCACCGGTATCCACAAGAGCGTATGCATGGGCGCCGTCTACAAAAACTTCGACGATATTTGACGGCAAGGTGCGAGGACTTGAACATTTCGATAGCGCAGTTCTTGCCCCTTGAACTGCGACGGCTAGTTTCCCTCATTTTGAGGGGCTGGTCGTGGACGCATGGGTGACAAGGAGCGTCGATTGGGTGAAGGTGAGCGACGAGACGAAGTTGCCGGATAGTCACGGGAAGACGTGTTTGACTGACGATCCGAGCTTTCATAACCAAAAGGTGGTCGGTCCATGTAATTGCTTCGTGGTCGGACGTCTGTGTAGGTGGGCACGCGACGACGGCAGTATCGGGAGATATGGCCAGGTCCACCGCACGCAAAACAGATCGGCCGGTTATCGCGCGTTCGCCAGGCATTTGCAGCAAGGGGCGCCGCCCACGCGGCATACGGCTGAGTCGAAGCTGTGGTAGCGAGGGGAGGAGCCCATGCGACGGAAGACTGAGTAGGAGCGGTGGCCTGCGGCAGTCCATTGAACGGCGAGGGCTGGTGTGGCTGCTGCCTCTTTACTGCGTCAGCATAAGTAAGAGGCGCGGCGACAACTTGCTGCTGAAAGGGCACTGGCATAGCCTCGGCAATCTGGTCCTGAAGTGCATGTCGGAGCGTGGGAGCTAACGGTGTCGGTGGTTGCTGTTGCTGCTGCTGCGGGAGCTCTTGGCGCTGACAAAACGGCAGGAGGGAAAGCTGACGTGCGACCTCCTCACGCACAAAGTCTTTCATTTGTGCTAGAAGGCGGGAGTTGGTCAGGTACGACGTCCAGGGCAGCGAGTGGTTGGTTAGGCTGAAATGGACGACGGGTGAGAGCTCGTTGCCGTCGCAATTCGTCATAGTTCTGGCACAGAGTTACCCACTTCAGACACCGTGCCAGGAGACTTCGCCAGGAGCATTTGAAAGACGTCGTCATCAACACCTTTCATAATGTGCTGGATCTTGGCACTTTCGCTCATTGCGGCATCGACGCGCTTGCAGAGATCGAGTATATCTTCGATATATGCGGTAAACGTTTCGCCAGGTTCTTGTGCCCGTGAGCGCAGGCGTTGTTCGGCGCGCAACTTCCGCACGGCAGGGCGACCGAAAACCGAGGATATTGCCTGCTTGAAAGTGGCCCAGTTCTCGAACTCGGATTCGTGGTTTGTATACCACAGTTTCGCCACATTAGCCAAGTAAAAGTGGACGGTGCTCAACTTAGCAGCGTCATCCCACCTGTTTGGGTCCACTGACTTTTTCCGTAGGACGACAGCCAGTCCTCGACGTCCTGGTCTTCGGCGCCCGAAAAGATCGGGGGGTCTCGCTGGGTGAACCGGGCCGGGGCAAGTAGGAGCCGCGAGAGGTGCTGTCTGTTGGGCAGCGTCAACTTGCATGGTCGACGGCAGCGTGCGGGATCGGAGTTCCAGGGTGTAGGTGATGCAGTTACCCAGCACGATCCACCAAATGTAAAGGGGGTTTATTGAAGGGCTGAGCAAGCGGGTGGTAGCTCTCAAGGAACGCAGGCGAACCCAGATGACGGTGCTTGATCGCCGATCTCGTGCCTTCTTCTTGTGCTGATGATACCTGACCTGATGGTATCAACGTCTTTCTTATTCACTACATTATTAACATATAACTTCAATGCTTCCTTGGTCACGAGACTCCTCCATCACACTTTGGGGAGAGCTTGCTATGTTGTTGCAGTGGCCACGAAAATGGCAGGAGCTTGTAAGGGGCATTGAAGAGAGCTTTGCTGCGTAGGAAGAGCTGGGAACGCGACGATTCTGGCGGCATCGCCGTTCAATTTCGCGCGTTTTTAACAAAATTTTTGCGATTGATGGGTGTCAGAGGTACTTGTTAGACATGAACGATGATGCCAGAAACTTGCTAGGTGCCGGGTTCTCACTCCAGCTACAGAGGTGCGAGGGAAAAGGTGTTGCTTACTTTGATGAGGGACTATACGGTGGTCAAAAGGACGAATGGCAAACGTGCGATACCATGACAGGCAACTGGTGGACTTACCTTCGATTCTGAAAACATTAGAGTGCGTGAAAAAGATTTTGATGCCACAAATTATTCGGACTGATGATTTCATAGGGAATGTTTCTTTGTAGTGCGAGAAGGCATGTTGCTGGCCTAAGCTGTTTCTTTCACAGCTTGTTAGTTTTTTTAGGTTCTTAATAGTTTGTTAGGTGCTTTGCATTTTTTTTAGTTTGCAATCATCAAAACATTTTTTTCTATTTACATTGACTCAATGTCAGCCAAAGATGTCTCTTTTTTTAAATTTACATCTGTTTACTGTTTCTTTTTTTCCCCAAGAGCTTGATGCCTTCATTTACTGACCTTGCGAAGAGCTTGTCTATGTTAAAAAAAAAAAAAATTGTCGTTCATAGGTATCTAATGCTGAGGTTATTTACCAGTATTTTTTTTTCTCTTTTTGAATCGTAGCATTCTTGCTTTGTTTGCTATAAATCAGTGGCTCTACAGAATGAAGTTTTTAAATATATGCATCAAAGTAATCAATTATAAAGAAGTATGTACTTGGTGGGAATTACCATTTCTCCGGCTTTGCGCTTTTTTGAGTATTCTGCCTATGACCTGTTTTTCAGGTCTTGAATAAATCAAAAGCACTACAAAGTTATGCGCTTGAACACGTGCTTGTTTTCTCTATATGAGAGAAACACGGCTTCATCTGATTTAATAAAGTCTGCTCTATGAGCAATCTTTATTAATAAATTTGCTGTATCACTGTGGTAATGCAACAGCAGTTCATGTAAGCAGTGAAGGTAACATACGCTATGATTTGTGAAGGTGCCATCATATCTGAGTCCCCTTGCTGCGCTGCACAATAGGAAGTGCGACAGCACTATTCTGCAACTTTGAGAAACTTTTGAGAGGGATGTGAGAGTGTTGGAAAAAGCTTTGGTTTTAGAAACCTCCGTGATTTTCCTTGTGTGGGGTGCCTCAGTAATGTGACACTGTGGTAACCATACTAGAGTTGCCTTAACAATTAGAAGGAACTTTCACGCAGACCAGAAGGCTACCTGTATGACAAGGAATGCATCCTGGAGTACATAATCAAACAGAAAACAGAGAATGCACGTCTCCTGAAGGAATACGAAGCTGAACAAAGGAGAGAGGCTGTAAGTATCTTGATTTTGTGTTCTTATTGCATGAAACGAAATTTACGAACACGAAAGTGTTTTATGGCGGGGTTTCACCATGGTTCCACTGACATATTTTCATCATCGATATGACGTTGTAAAATATATATACTTATACATTGCAAAGAAAATAACAAGAAGGAAAAGTTTTGTTCCGGGGTATCAAACCAGTGACCTTTCAATCCTCAGTGCGTGGCGCTAGCCACTAAATCATGTAGCACATGTTTGAAGCTGTGCGTCGCCACGCTGATGCTGCCGCCTGTTCACACTCGCACCGCTTGCGCCGCCACCAAAATTTTGAGAAAGGTCATGCCGCCATGCCACAATTACAGTGCGCAGCCGTTAGTCCTGTATTTTAACCCGAATGAGGATTCTGGGTATAAAAATGCATTACTTCGCTGGGGGAGTTCTTCTCGATGTGTCCATGTAATGGACTCCATTTAAGCTGCTGCTGATTGATAGGATCTTGGCCAGCAGTGTGCCTTCTGTTTCAGCTCCTTCCTCTTCAGCGTGATTTTGTCATTGTGAAGCTTTCAGAACTTTCGACACTTAACGAGAGGGACGAAATGCACTTCACCGCAATGAATGCAGCACTTACACATTCTTTGTTTGCATACATCTTCAGGCCATGCGTAAATTCTCATCACGTTAGCCATAGAATTAAGTTTAAAGGAATACTAAAATGAAACCATGACATCATTTAAAATAATAAACTGTACTTTGTGAACTCTAATATCACCAGCTTTTCTATAATGAAAGGTCATTATCAGCGAAAAAAACAAAACAAGATTGAATTCCATTTTTCCAATATCGGGCCGATATCACACCATGCATGACTTCACGAATGTGAAAATGGGCGCTATCAAATCTTCTGAAACTCATATGCTAGTTCTGTCACCCACAAATGACAATGTACTTCATTTTTACCAATTAAAAACTATGTATTTCGCAATTGATCTCATGAGTGCTTGCAAAGGACTAGATTGAGAGAGACCGGAGACGGGCATGGCAAACACACTTTATCACCCAAAAGATAAAAGGCAAAAGATCAAAAGCGGGAACGAATACTCGTGGACTCATAAAGGAACACCTTTTCTAGAAAGATGCCTGTGACTTGAGCCGAAGAAGTGGTTCCTTGCCCTCTGCTGTTCTCTTCTCCTGTGGTCCCCTAAACAGTGTCGACAGCGAGCGCTCGCTGCGGCGGCTGCTTGAACCTCACCGCCTTTGAGATTAAAGGAATGTCTACTGCTATCTTGGAGGTAACACAGTCGTGTCGTTTTGATGGCGTCATTTGCAAATTCAGCAAAAGTAGTGTCGGCTGCGAATGCTCCTTACTGAGAAAGCACTAAACTATGAGGGACCTCCTGTCCCCATTGGAAAGGGTGTGACATCGCAGGCATCTTTATAGAGGAGGCGTTGGACAATGTTACCCCAATGCAACACAAACAAAACAACTGTAGCCTAGTTTATATCCGTTTATAGTCCTAGCTGCTAGTACTAAGCCGATTTGGCGTCTCAACAATGGAACGTTCTTACGGTTCGTCGCGTTGCCATGTCAACTGTGTGCCCCTTTGTTGTGTCGGCAGTTTGTCGATTCTGTTGTTGACGTCCTTCTCATGCGTTGCTACAGTCTTGGTCCTTTTCCATGAAATTATCCGCCTTTCCTCATCGCTAGTGTTCCGGTCTTCATCTCAGTCTTCTGCCTGGCTAGGCTAGGCTTAGCTCGTCATGGACTTCCTTGTTGACGGGTCCACTGTGCTGAATGGTGTGGGCTGCTACCGCTTTAGCGCTAAGTGGGATAGCTGCAAGCCCACCAGGAATTGCTGGGCAAGGGTGCGGAAGTCTGGGCGTCCTAACTCTGGAAGACCTCCGAGGTCGCTGGCTGCTTTCCTTTCCTCAGCCTCTCACGCCAACATCCTTCAGAACCTGCTTCTTTCGCGGCAGCAACGCTGGTTTTCCACGTCCTCGCAGCTTGGAGCCCCACAGCACAGTGCCAGCTCATCCTCCGTGATTTTTCATCATAGCTCAGGTCGCGTACCACAAACTTTTTTCCAACCAATCTCGAACGTGAACGAGGCACGTCTGCGCACCATCGGGGTCTTGTGCACATGCGCCGTATTCCAGTGCCTGGCACGCACCTTGGGCCCCTTATTCATGACAACGTAGGACGCAGTGAATGCTGTCACAATCTATGACGCCATTGCGTTCGGTGGGGGAATCTCAAAGCGATGCCCCCACGCGCACTTTTTATTTAGGTTATTTTCTCCTCTAACAAGCGTCTATTTGCCGTAAGAGTCGTGTTTTCGGGACTGGGAAATTGTACTTCACTAATACGGGAATTATGGTTTTTCACTTTAGTGTCGTTTAATGTGGCCGCCCGTCTAACACACCTGTGAAGGTTGGTGAAGGTTTCCTGTATTTTTCTCAGACGCATAGAAAACAATGGTGCAGATTCAGACTTGGCAAGTTCCTGTTTCTGTAAATTTTGTTTACTCTTATGCCAGAATGTGCTGGCGCGTTCAGTGCAATGACGTGGTCAAGAGCCAACATCACAGCCTGCTGCATTTTCGAGCAGCTGAATTTGCTCTGCTGAAATGAACTGTGGACATCTCTAGATGGACACATCGAAAATAACTCCCTGGAAGTTGTCGTGTTGTTCTCTCCTCCAGAAGTCTCGAGAAATCTCCTCATTGTGTGGTGTCCTCTAACAGAAATGCATGATTGTCTTGCTCGCTGTCATAGTACGCTGCTGTAACGATGTAATATATTAAAAATCACGTATAGCATAGCGGTCTGTTGCATATTGAATGTGCTGTCATGCCGAGTAGGTGTTCTTCCTCTTGCCCATCAAGCGGCTTGGTGACAATACGTAGCGTGCAGGAGCCTAGGGGCCTGGGCTGTAGTTTGCTGTCGTATGCTATCGCCAGTTGGTGCAACACAGACAAAGGCATGCATTAAATATGGAAAAAAATATAAAGCAAGCAAGAATGGAATGATAAAAAAATAAAAAATAGGATTGAAATAAAAAAAAAAAACAGAAATAGAATTAGAAGAAGAAATCAATAGAAATAAACAGGAAAGAAGGGTAAAGTCGAAAAAGGCTTCCTGGATTCGGACTTTCTTCTTGTTTAGCACCACCTCATTTTATTTTTTATTTTTAAGTACTTTTTTGTCTACCTTTTTTTCTGTCGCTGTGTCAGTTAGTGGCACTTTTTAGTGTCTTCACTAGTATTATCATGTGTCAGTGTTCGCCGGCCCTTTCTCTTTGAGGGTTCCAATTTGGTCTCAAACTCCCCTCATCAGCGAGCGGGCCACACTCACACAATTTAGTCCTGCAAGTGCCAGGGACAGACAAAAAGATAGGAGCCGAGAGAGGGGGTAGTTCATACAGATAGTGCATCCATTTTTTTTTCTAAGCTTGCATTGTGAACGCTGGTGCATGCGCTTTCTCAGCAGGCATCAGCTCACGACTCGTGTACCCTTTAATGCGGTACCTCCGGAAGCAGAAACACCAGTGCACCTCCGCTGATTTTTGGGACTGGCGCACAGGTCTACATATGTTGTCAAGAGTGCTAACGGCAAGCTTTTTATATAGCCCTGCTGCAGTAGTATAGTGGCTAAGAAACAGAACATATATCAAATGAAAGAACAGAACATATATCAGAACATATATATCAAAGGAAAAAACATATATATCAAATGATATATATGTTCAGAACATATATATCAGAACAGATATATCAGATGAAAGCTTTTTATATACACCATACTGTTCGGCGGTCCTCAGAGCTCCGAAACTTCAGCGCATTTTTGTCGTATGTAGTAAGGTGGCGCAGTGAGCTTGCATTGGGTTAAGTGACTTAAGTCGCATTTATTTTTTTTCATAATTTTTCGTTGGTGTGGCTTATACAACGGTGTGACTTATATGCAGTCAAAATCAGGTTTGACGCCGCGGCTTCGGCAGCCTGGATATCCCGTGCGCCCTGTTTGCTGTGCACAGAAACCGCATTTTACAAGATAATGAGAAGAGTGGTAAATTAACTCTCTATAAATAACACAGCTAGTGTAGCTCAGCACAAAAAATTAAAGAAAGATGAAACTCGCTTTTATAATTATAATTATAATTATAAATTTCATAATTTGTAAATTATGAAATGCGAGATCGGGCTTCAGAGCTGCTTTCTTTGCCATCACTTCCTTCCCCATAGCACTCGCGGCTGCTGCTTGTCGCATGTGTAGTGCATCGTTACAGCATCGTAGCGCAGCCTCGCCATGGTGGTCTAGCAGCTAAGGTACTTGGCCACTGACTCGCAGGTCACGGGATCAAATTCCGGATGCGGCAGCTGCATTTTCGATGGAGGCGAAAATTCTGTAGGCCTGTGCACTCAGATTTGGGTGCACGTTAAAAAACCAAGGCGGTCAAAATTTCCAGAGCCCTCCACCACAACGTCTTTAAAAATCATATGGTGGTTTTGGGACCTTAGATCTCACATATCAATTAAATCAGCATTGTAGCATAGTGGCATAGGCTCAGCAGCCTCGCTAATCCGACAATGCACCATCATGCCACATGGAAAGCAAAGTCGGCAAAGTTTCGACGCAAGTTCAAGTTGTGCACAGTTTAATTTGCCGAAAAAGATGGAAACCGTGCTGGAGGGAGGGAATTCAATGTCCGTGATAAAATGATCCGGGACTGGCACAAAGCCCACGGCGTCCTCTGGACAATTAAATCGACAAAGAAGGCACGCTGGCAGGGCCTCGAGCGTAGCCTGCGAACGTGGATGTTGCAACAGCGAGCCGTAGGAAGAGGCTTGTCAACAGTGCAGCTGCGCCTGAAGGAGAAGGCTCTGGCAGCGGAGACTAATGCTATACAGTTCAATTGTGGTCCGTCGTGGTGTTTCTGCTTTATGTGGCAGAATCAGCTTGTCATGAGAGACCGCACTACAGTGTGTCAGAAGCTTCCTGACCACTTCCAGACGCAGCTGGAGCACATTAGCTCATTCGTGCGGGGGGAAATAGCGAAACACAACGCCAGCGGGAGCCACATTGTCAATGTGGATGAAGTGTTGTTGACCCTTGACATCCCGCTTAGGAGAAGTGTCACTGAGAAAGGCCAAAAAACTGTCAAGGTGAGGACAACAGGCCATGAGAAATCACTCTTCGCCATTGTGCTCAACTGCTGCGCAGACAGCACCAAGCTGCCTTCCATGCTTATTTTAAGGCGAGAAACCTTGCCGAAAGATGTTTTCCCTTCTGCAGTGGTAGTTCAGGCCAACACTAAGGATTGGATGGATAAAGAAATGATGGGTGTGGCTTGACCTCTGTTTTTCACGTCGACCTGACGGATTCATCCATGTGAAGCCAGAAATGCTGGTGATGGACAGGATGCGAGCACATTTCACCGACTTTGTAAAAAAAGAAAAGATTGGTTCGAATAATCGTATGCCTGTGATGATACCTGGCGGTATGATCATGATTCTTCAGCCACTCCTTATTTATGCCGATCGCAGCTTTAAGGCCGTCCTGGGACGTTTGTGGAAATCATGGATGTCGAAGGGTAAACACAGCAAAAATGCGAAATCTCGTTTGGGAGTTGCCTTTTGTTGTAATCAGGGGCTGTCCCTGGAACGGGCTGTATTTGAGTGCAGTCTTTCATCTTGTCTCAAGCACATGTCATGAGACAGCATCAGAAATGTTACCCCATACCATTCTTTTGGGACTCATTTGTGCATGTGGCATGGAAATTTCACTCCTGATGCATATCTGTCAGCTCCCGTGAAAAGAGATTTTATTTCACTTGAACGAAGCATTCATTCATTGACAGTGCTGCTTTTGTCCTGCATTGATGTAAGTCTTGTATGCTCTGTAATGACGAAAACCGAAACTGGAACTCTCTCTGGCACAGACTCGCATGCTAGGAGGAAGAGGAAGAAGACGAAGCAGAATAAGAACAGCCGGCCTGCAGCAAAGGCGTTGTGTCTTATTTCTCGTCCTTACAGCTCATATTTTGCTTGCACGGATATGTATTAAGGGTGGCACTTACGAAGCGTGAAAGCCCGTGTTCGAAGAGGTGTTTCAAAATATCTTTTTCAGAAAGAACTGCAAGAGCTGGCCCTTGCAGAAGAACGTTCCATGGCGGAATCCTTTGTTTGCAAGGAACGCGCCATTGTGAGCTGCTCAGCATCGACATCCTCCTCACTGGGTATGTATACCAGCTTATCTAGTGCTATTTTGCCAGTCTTTTCTTTAGGTGTTTGCTCTTCAAGACCTAGAGCACGTAAGCCCAAATGAATATTGGGTTTAGGAGACGCTACTCTGTCAAACAAGTGGTACAAATGGCAAAAGATGCCCACAGCCACGATGCCTAGCGTTTCTTCTGCAAAATGATTGTACAGTAAAGAATTATTTTTGTGATAACATCCAAAACAGACTTGAAATGGCTGTGTGCATTGAATGGCAAGTTCTTGCTAGCCCTGTTTTTTGCTGTATCTGTAGTTTGAGCTGTGTAACTAGCAGAGCTTTTTTCAAAGGCTTCATGAATGCAAAACATGTTAAGCATGCTGCCGCACTTCTCAGATTTGACTCATGTGACTGAGGTATTTGCCTTGCTTTAATTGTTCAAAAATTGAAGAAATAAGTCAGAGAATTTGCAGCGCTGACAAAATGAACAGTGGAAAAAAAAATACACGGTTATGGAAAGTTGGCATCTTAATGCAGACCTGTCTGTGTGAAATCATAGTACCAGTGATGGGAAACTTGCGCCAATTGCACCAATAAGAAACTAGTGTGCCCTACTGCTCCAAAAGGGTCTCTTTTTTTCGAATTTGTGCCATTTCTGCGTCACAAGCTAGTTTTGGAACGGAAAGTAATGTTGACAGCTCGCATCGGGAGCAGATATTACGTGATGGTAACCACATTACACACTTGGCTGCTGCAAAAGCACAGAATCGGATGATCAATTATATCGGCTTTTGCGCGATTGCGGTGCAGCTTTTTCTGGTAAATATTGGCAAAAAACGAAGGCGAAGTGGCGACTACCGCTCACCAGTATGACTTGATCGTCGACAAAAAGCCTACGTGTGTGGCGTAGCACTGCTTTAAGCCTACTGCATGCATTTAATAGATGTCGGCTACATGAGAGGGCTGAGGCGCCGATCGCTGCCGCCCCAATCGTTGCGCGGGATCGTGTTCAGTGTGCACCGCTTTTCAAAAATGAAACAGCGCACTGCTGCAGAGTTGAGCATTGTGGATCTTTGCAGTACTTTCGAAATGCTCTTCGATCTTGCCATCGCGTGCCATCAAACATTGATGCGAGATTGCCAATTATTTCTGAATAGGCAAAAGGGAGAAGTGACTTCAGTGTGGGCACCTCAGGCAATATTTGCTGTGGCACTGTATTTATTCCTTCCTTAGCGGTGATGGTGTGCGTAAAGAAATGCAAATAAGTTCTTGGTCATAGGCGTGTGCGCAGGGGGGGGACACAGGGGGGCGCAAAGTCAGCCTTATGCATTGACATGGTTGGGAAGGGGTGCTGCGATGAACCTTTGCCCCCCTCCCTGCCGTCTCTGAAGGGTAACCTCGCGCATGCTTATGAACTTGGTGATTAATGCATACTGCGTTTAATGAATAGTTAGCCGCGGTCCCAGCTGATTCTCAGCATCTATGTGCATATTAACGAGGTTGTACTACGTATAATGAGCTTTGATGTATGTGCACATGTGCTGCTATAAACCTCATGCTATGGCTAGCTTGTTGGTGCAATATTGTTCACTATCTTATGTCACTGCTTTTGTACATAATCCTACTTTCGTTTCTCTTTCGCGCTTATTTTGTGAACTTCCTGCTTCTGTGTTAATGATTATGTAAACTGAGGGAACAGTAAACTAAATTAAAGCTAAATTTTTTTCCACTGTGTCATGGAAAGCCCTTGCATGCTCCAAACACAGCAATAGCTGCTCCAAAAGCAGATTTTGCTCCAATGGCTGCTCCAGAATTCTGAAAGGCATTTCCACCACTTTGTTACACAAAAACAGTGTTGAGTAGTGACCAAAGTTATGCTTAATGTGCAGTATTTTCTTGCTTTCATGCACACATGTAATATCCAAAACATCACTGCAAATTAACATTCGGTGGTGCTGCTACCACGAAGAGTTTAGTTGACTCAGTCATCATTGCTGTATTACAGACTACATTAACGAGGCAGTTGGCAGTCATTAGGCTGATCGAGTGTGTGTGTGTGTGCTGTTGAAGAAGGCTCGCATGAATATCTTTTATATGAACAATGTTAAAGGGACACAAAAGAGCAAAGCAATTTTTTACGTGTTAGTAAAGTGCAGTTTTGCAATCTAGAAAACTCCACTCTTACCACATGTTGACTGGTAAGCGAAAAAATGCTGTCACATATAAGAGGTGGCCAGGTACCGTATTTTCACGCATATAACCTGCATTAAAAACCCAAAAATTTCAGTGGCAAAGTGGAGATGTGGATAATACGTGGGGTTTTTTCTACAGTGCTGCTTCACAGCAATGCGTGTTGTGCTGTGAAGCCCCTAACAGTGTAGCGAAGGCTACGGAGGCGGTTTCGCGCAAATTCGTGTTGCTCCACAAATAGCACGGCAGCTTGCGGCCGATTTTGGTTTCGCTTGCTTGCATCATTCAAGCGTTTAGAAAAACATTTGGGGAGAGACAATTCGATTGTTCAGTGTAAAATCTCACTGTCACACCACAAGTATATTTTATGGACGTTCGCGAGAGAGATAGAGATATTATCAGTAAACTTATGTACTACTTTTTGACACGGTAGCAGGCATGCATTTCGGTTCTGTTGTTTCTAGGGTGCTTTTACAGTGTACTATAAGGGATAGTGCTAAGTCGTGGAAGCCTAAGTCGACCTGTTCTGTCACCATGAGCAGCGTACGGTGGCAGTCCTTAACGGCACAGCAAAAGCTTAAGATCATCACCGTCGCCGAGGAATTCGGAAATCGCGAAGCGGGAAAACTGGCACGATGTGGATGAGTCCTGCAGTGCGACTGTGAAGAAAGAAGAAAGAGAGCCTACAAGCCGCGCACCACGACCGTAGGTCATTTCGTGGCCCCAAGATCGGTGCCTACCCTGAGCTGGAGGCGGAGCTAGTAAAGTTCATCGAAGATGTGAGAAGCAGGGGTGACGCCCTATCGACCGAGATGGCCCAAGTGGAAGCATGGCGACTTTCGAGGGAGCTAGGCCTACCTCACGAGTTCCGTACGAGCCGGGGATGGCTGCACCGCTTTATGAAGCGGCAAGGGCTCTCAATCAGACGGCGGACTACAATATGTCAACGCTTGCCGGCTTCTTATGAGGAGAAGTTGCTCAAGTACCAGAGATATGTAATTAGCCTGCAAAAGCAGCACAATTACATTTTCTCGCAAATCGGCAATGCGGATGAAACTCCTGTTTATTTTGAAATGCCGTCGGGCACAACGATTGAGAAGACGGGCAGCAGTTTGGGGAGCATGCTGACCAGCGGGAACACGAAACTGCACATCACAGTCTTGCTTTGTGCCCTCGCCGATGGCACGCAACTGCGACCGTACGTCATCTTGAAAAGGAAAACTCTACCAAAGATTCAGTTGCCTGCCGGTGTGGTGGTGCGTGCACACGAGAACGTGTGGATGAACAGTGACTTGTTCGTAGACTGGATCAAGACGGTATGGGAGAAGAGGCCCAGAGCGATGCTCGCAAAGAGGTCCATGCTCGTTCTTGACTCATTCCGCGGCCACACAACTAAGGAAGTGAAGGACCGCCTTTCACGCAACGGCACCGACTTAGTGGTTATACCTGGTGGAATGATGTCAATGTTGCTGCTTTTAGATGTGTCGCTTAACAAGCCCTTCAAAGTGCATGTCAAGCGCTATTACGCCGAGTGGATGGCCGAAGGCTGCTATGACTTGACGCGGACATAACGAGTCCGAAGGCCTGATATTGTCCTATTCTGCAAGTGGATTGTCAAGGTATGGAAGGCCATTCCAGGTGAGATGGCGCGAAAACGTTTCTAGAAATGCTGCATCTCAAACAACAGGGATGGAACCGAAGATGACCTTGTGCATAATAGTGAGGACTGCGGCTCAAGTGATAGCTCTAGCGAGAGCAGCGACAGTGAGTGAATTGTGAATGGCCTTGCAGACAGCGTATTCTGCTTGCTAAATAAAGCTTTTTCTGTCTAGATATGTGCTATGTTGCTTGAGCAGTAGCTTTTGTATAGCCTTTTCTGTATATGAAATGTGCGGGCAAACGCGAGGATTTTTTTTTCTTTCTCGGTGAGCTGAAAGTGGGGGTGCAGATTATATGCAGCGGCGGGTTATACGCGCAAAAATACGGTAAGTACTATAAAAAGAGAGAAAGATGTCAAGCAAGGCATCAAGACCAGAAGATGAGAAAAACGAAGTTGAATATATTAAATGCCTGGTGACGTTGGCAGAAGGGCCCTAGGGTGTTCGATCGGGAGCGTTTGAGCTGGGCACCAGCATCGCCGGATTGTGCCCGGGTGCTCCAGCTTTTGTTCTATGGCATCCCACTGTAGACTCCGGGTATTGAGGACGAGAGAAGGAAATCGGATGGGTGTCTCAACAGCCCGCAGCAACCAGGGAGCGTCATTGACTTGTGTCCCGAATGTACCGTCCTACTACACCACACCGTATGCCTCGTCTGAGCCTCTTCCTAGGAAATGCTGGCCAGTGCAGGCAACTGACCTTCGAACCTCCCAGCCACAATGACTACGCAGCTCGTGTTCCACGCCCAAGAAGGACCGGGTCACCAACTTGGACGTGAACACTAGTGACACTATTTCTTGTTGTAGATCTTGCGGATATCTGTTCGGCAGGGAGGATGGACTTGACGAAGATTTTAGATTGGGTAGTAAAGCTTGGGTTGAGGAAGCAATAACCCTTTATGATCTTGAGGAAAAGACATAAAGAGATGAGCGAGGAGGATTGGAACACGAGAAGGTGCTTTTGTAACAGCAGACTTTGAAAGAGATAGTGAGAGGGGCAGAGCTAATAGAGGTGCTATAGTAGCGATTGACCCATGTCTATCCCATGAAGCTGAAAGCTCCTTTTTAGGACTCAAGGGATGACCTGAATGTATAATCGCACGAATCCGAGTAGATGCATGTCAAAGTTGGGGGGGCAGTCTGAGGTTGGCAAAAGCTATATACAGTAGACTCGC